TCCCCCCCACTGTTCAACGGTCGAAATATTTGAATTTTACATTTAGGGAACCGATTCCCCATTAGGGGTACCGATTCCCCCCACGCTCCAAGCAGAAATATTAATTATTTTCACACTTAAGCGGCTCCAAAAACTTCATTAATGATCCCCAACGTTCAGAAGTGATTCAAGGTGTATTTAAGCAAGCTTAGAAGCCATTGATCAATAACAAGAAACATCAAGCAACTAGAATCAAGAGAGAATCAAAGAGAAAGCATCAAACGTCAAGTTTGAGCATTTCAAGCCTATTTTTCATTCAATATTCATTTTGCTTTCAAGAACACTTATTGTGCTCAATTGTATTCATTCTTGAGTGTTCTTTTCTTTGTTCTAGAATTGTGCAAACAATCTACCTTGTGAGGATTTATTTGTAAGTTTGCAAATTTGTATTGTTCTCTTTGGGAGAGAGTGTTCTCAAGAATTTGGGGTATAATTCTTGAGGGTTTGTAAGGTTACTCTTTGTCCTCAAAAGAAAGACAAATTAGTGAATTTGTGGAAAATCCTTAGTGTGGATAGCTAAGGTAGTGGACGTAGACTTTGGTTGAGAAAGTCGAACCACTCTAAATCGCTGTGCAAATTTCTTTCAATTTTCTACAAAAGCTTCCACCAAAATTTTAATTGCCAATTCACACCCCTCTTGGCCATATTCGTCAATCGATTAACTCAACATATTTTTATATATATATATATATATGTGTGTGTGTGTGAAATATGAAATTTGATTTTGTTACATAATGTAAAACTCTTTTAGTTTTATACAATAATTACTGGAGAGTAAAAATAGATTGTTTAGATTAACAATAAGAAATAATAAGATATTTACTGAAGAAAATATAATGAGTTAATTTCAATAATTTATTTTTACTCATATAATAGTCCTAAAAGAGTTTTATATTGCAAATGATATTCAAATAAATAAGGCATTTATATTTATTGATAACTTTTATGATTATTTTTATAATACATTGTCATACTCACGGTGAGTAAATGAGAATAATTATATAAAAATGTAATTATAATAATAAATTTTTTTTTAATATTTTTAACTATATATTATTTTCTTTTTAATTAAAATTTATCCTCAATCTTTTAAAAATACTTCCTTTTTACAGAAACGCTGATTAAACATCAAAATTTGACAATATTAATGTTGTAGCTTGTATAGTAATCTATATGTATTTTGTGTTAACATGGCATAATTTATGTATACATCGTATCGAAAAATAATTTGAAAATATTAAAATATATAAACAAATTAACATAGAACACACAAATTACCATACATGTTTTCATATCAACATTGTTAAAAGTTTAATATTTTAATCAATGTTTATGTTAAAAAATTAATCGATTCTTTTTTTAAATATTTTAGGTTTAACCTAAAAAAGAATAAGATTCAAATTAATAAAAAGGTAAATAAATATCGAGGATCAAATTTATCATTATGTTAAAAAATATATTTACAAAATTTATTAAAAAATTATAGGAAAATGATAAGATATCTATATATAATTTGTTAAAAAATTTATCATGCGCTACCCATAACTCAAAAAGAATCTACGAACAAATTCTTAAACTTTATAAAATGGGGAAGTTCTACAGTGCGGCAGGCTTAAAAACGGCTAAAACAAATCACTCATCTCATTGCCCATCGGTATCTATCTAATCCAACCAACGGGAGGGGTCTATACTTCAATGAATCGCTGTATCGACAGGTTCGTTCATTGATAAGTGTAAAATATGATATGTTATAGTAGGGACGAAGTCATAATTAAATATTGACACAATTCGAAATATTAAACTATTTAAAAAAAATATAAATACTTACTAGGTATTTAAACTCAAAATTCAGCAACCAAACGACCTTAGTGATTAATGGATTATTGTTATCCTTGAGGTCTCGAGTTAGAGCATTGCGTATGTAGGGGTATGAGCATTTATTATCAAATAGTTGAGAGTTTTTGTACATATATTATCTTGTATTCACTCTAGATTTATATAAAAAAGTTCAAAATTCACAAGATAACACCGAATTAGTCTAATATTTAAACTTACAATGACCTAAATTGTTATTAGACCAAATATCATTATCAAAAAAATTTTGAGAACACGAAGTTATCCTTCTTTAATTTGGTTCTTACTTGATTAAATATTTAATAAATTCTTATATTTATTTTTGTATGAACTAAAATACTATTTGACCAAAATTATATTAAAATATAAATTTTAACAGGAGTCGACTCCCTTTTAGACTCTCACTAAACTCCACCCCTACGTCATAGGACTCCAAAATCTAGAGGTCCCACACTTTAAAAAATATCTTATTTTGCTTCTAAAGACTTTTGAATTATGATACTTTTTAAATAAAATATCAAAATAGAGTTGTTTTATAACATTTTCTTAATTTTATATGTTTGGAATTTTATTTTATTTTATTAAAACAATCGTAATACGATAAATTTTAATATTTTACAATCTCATTATATTATAAAATATTTTAAATATTTAATTTTAAAATGTAGCACATAGTCTGTAAATCTATTGACACGAATCTACGTATCGCCAGACGGTAGCAAACCTTTCTTTTATCTAGTAACAGCCCGGTGAGGAGAGGATTTTGCAGCAGAAATTAATTTTTTATTTATTTAAGTTAAATTCTGTCATAAATTCACGTGATACGTGAAAATTATAGATTTAATTTATGTTTTTTATTTGATTATTTTCAACCTTGCAATTTAATCATATTTGCTCTTATTTTTGGAGTCAATTGTAAAGGTTTGGTCTGTGCAGGAGGAATTAAAAGTTATCATTAAAATCAATTATGAATTGGTATAATGAGATGATATGATAGATCTTTTAAATAATATATAAGATTTGGATTCTAATGTTATAAATGAAATGAATTAGATTTGAAGAATCAACTCCATGGTGAATATGTACATTATTTAATCTAAATTAATCTATTAATAAATTATACACTAATAATTATTACAAAAAAATTGGCTATTAAACAAATAAGATTGAACTAGTGAAGTATTTTTAATATTTATATTCCCCAAGGCATTGACGTGCGCTACCTCTGCCTATGCATGAACTTGGAAATTCGGACTCGCCATGTAGCAAAAAATTATCCGAAAACTCAACCCCGAGATTCTTGAAGAATGACACGAGCATCACGAATTCTGCCTTTATGAACAGCGGAAGCATCAGTTTCATGTTTCGGTTTAAGCTATTCTTTTGGTTTATCTTATCTTCCTCGGTTTGTTTTCTTTTTCTACAGAAGCTTTGCAGTTCATTGGATTTCAATGGCAGCCATTGGAGTTTCTTCACCTACTGCATTGAAACAGAGAGGCAGGAAAATTCATTTCATCCAACTGTACATGAATATGCATTTGTTTTTAACATACAGTATGTATGTATATCTAATAATCCCAGAAATCCTAAAACTAAAAGGGACGAGCTCTGTTTTTGTTTTTTTTTTACCAGAACAAACCCTTTGTTGCAGACAGTTGACTCAGTTTCGAGTAGAATCCACGACCGAGTTGTGCCTTTTAGATGGAGCAGAAGGTGGTATAGGTAACCCTTTGGGGAAGAAGTTGAACATCTGTCCTTGGTATATGAAACCCGTCACATACTTTCTCGGGAAAACGGCATGTGAAACTCCATCGCCGATGACTGTGGTTTTACCAGGCCTGGTGGCAAAACTAGAACCGGCAACAAGTATAATTAGAAAGACAACATATATGATGTTAGAAAGTAGTCTGGTGAATGAAATTTGCTTGGGTAGCAGGGAAGGAGCCATTTGAAGATGAAGAGAAAACAAAGGCTTTGATCTTTGGGGATTTATAGTAATAATTATAATTATGTTATATAGTGATTGGAGGAGGAAGCAAAGACTGTTGAAATTTTGATTTTTGATTTATCAACGCTTTGGAAAATTTATTATAGAAAGTCTTTCTCATTTTTCCTGGAAAATTTGATCACTTTGCCTTTGGCGTTGGCAAATTAAAAGTAACAAGTGGAAGATGAGGATTGAATTAAAAAACATGAACCCTTCCATTATATATTCAAATTCTAACAATAACAAACGTGTATATACTATACAGGTTGGTCTAATCAATCGAAAGCCTCTGGTGTACCTAACAATTCTGTTTGCTTGGTAGACAGGAAAGTCTTGTATCATTTCCCCTTTTTTTCCCTTCTTTTTTTCATTGTTGCTTGTATGAATTTTGTTGACAGAAGATTGCCTAGTTGCACACGCTGATGCAGAAAACAAAACAGGGGTTTCATAGACGACAAGCATATATATATATATACACATACATGTGTGTACGTAGATGAGTTTTTAACACATACATGATCAGATGAATTTATGTTCTATTTTTCATTGTAAGTTAATATTTTGATGAGTTAATTTAAGGTAAGAAGGGGTTAGTTTTTATTTTCATCCACCCCTCTTCCAATTCACGAGTCTAGTCCATTACTCATACTACATATCTTGAGCACCTTCTGCCAGACTTGCTTAGCAAAGTTTCATGCTCTCATTTTCACTGTAACAAAGACAACAATGAGGATCCACTTGTTGCCCTCACTTCAAAATACGATCTTGGGTAGGTATGAGTAGGGATGAGTAAAAAAATTGAAATTCACAACATAAGCGGATAAAGGAACATGAAGGGAAGAAGACGACGACGACCAAAACAAAAGAGGGCGATTTTGGTTTGATTTCAATTTAAATCAAATCCAATATGTATAAGACAAAACCACAGAGCCATTCCATTCTGCATTTATAGCTTGGGCTTGGGAGAACACAATCCCCATCATGTGAACCAAAATCGTTTTACATCGCCGCCATTATATAAATAAAACAAATTAAAGCACCAAATTTCATAAAAATATATGCATATATTGAAGAACATGGCAAAGAAACACGATCCTCTCCATGATTAAGAAACAAGATGACCCATGTTCGTCATTTCCATTATTAGGATGAAGCAAGGCAAACTACATGGAAAGGAAAAAGGCAAACCTCCACTGTACGTACATCTTTCATTGTGCTTAACAACAAAACCTAAAACTCAGTGGACCGAAACAAAAGATCCTAAACTCTAATCAGAAAAACACTGAGTTCAGGGCCTCCGGCTCCATCCGGATTCATCATGTAAAAGGCTTCCGAGTCTTTAGACCCTACGACCCTCTCGAACCTGGCTCTCATGTACATCAGCTCACCTTCGGAACCATCTCCATTCCCATCCAAGTTACCCGGCAGCACACCCGCGCCCATTGATATAGGCTCCACCGATTTCAGCACTTTCCATTCCTCGGGTCCGCACTCACGCCTCATTGCGAACCCACATTTCTTGCCATTGCAGTATGTCCTCCAAACAGGCTCCTCCAGCAACTTCACCCCTTTCTTCCCCATCTTCTTCTCACACTCTAATGCGATTCTAACCAACCCGGAAGCCATTTCCTTGACCAAAACACTAGTTGGTGTTGCGAGTTGGATTAGAAACGCCGGGCTTAGTTTTGCTTCTTCTTGAAACGCGAAATGGACGTGACCACGCCGGTATCCGAACAGGGTTCCCACGACTTTGGTGCCTAAACCCGATCGATACACAGACCGGTTCTTACCGAACACACCGAGGGCTGACCGAAGCTTGGAAACCGACACAATTGGCAGCTTCTTTCTCGGTGGTGGATCCGGGATTCGAACCTCCTCTGCTTCCTTGGCTTCATCACAAAAATGAGACGAGGAACTAAAGGTTAGGATTTCTTCCTCGTTGTTGTCATCATCATCTTCAACCTTCTTTTTCCAGTTGAAATACCTCCTGGAGAAGGAGAAAGAAGAATCGTGGGGGCTCTTAGCAATTATCTTCATATGGGAAAGGCAAGAACCGAGAAAGAACTAGAAAACAAGTAATAAGTTCCGGTGAGTGAGGAGAGAAGGTAGTGTATATAAATAAACAGAGAGTGCCAATCTATTTATCTCCTGACAAAAGGGAAGTTGAGCAGCCCCACCTAACCTATAACAGGAGTAAACAAATGGACAACATAACTGAGAGAGAAAGGGAGTAGAAGAGAAGTATAGGAGAATAGCGGGAATCAGAGGAGACAATAGCTGTGTGTAATTTCTTTGTCATGTGGGGCAGAGTACGCTGAAAATAAGGGGAGTTGTGGGGTAAAAACCAGAGAGTGAATGGGAGAATTGACTGTCGAAACTGCGCGCATTGGAAACTGTCATGGACAGGCCAATTTTACCCACCATAAGCACCATCCCCTTGTGTTCTTTTTCTGTGCTCTGCAATAAAATAAGTAGCCTACCCACCGTAGGCCCAAGCTCCATCTACTTACTGCCGATCAAGCAATACATTAGGCCACCTCCAGTGTGTTTTGACAGTCTTCGTATTATAATTTTAATTCCATACAATTAATTCCTTACTTTAGTAATATTATTAGGAGGGCTAATTATTTCAGTTTAAATTTCAAGTTGAGTTATTAATTAAGTCTTACCTTGATTGGTATAATTATTACTATTATATATTTTGTTATGAGCTGTGTGTATATATATTGAAGTATCAATGTCAAAAAGTTACATAACTTAATACCTACAAACACTGACTATTGTAACCACTGAGCCAATACATTTCATGCAAAAGGAAGTGAGCTAAGAATAAGACAGGCTACAGCAAATGCAACCATCTTTTGTTGAAAATTTGAGATTAAAGAAAGACTGGTCGAAGCTTTTGTGTCTCTCCCCCACCACGATTACCGCAGACAGTTTTAGATTAGGGTAGAGTCCGAGATGAACCGAGGGACGATTGAGATGATTATTTTAAAATTTTAAAATTATCGTATGTTTTATTTTTTTTAATATTTGTTTGATAATTTATTTTTATTCTCTATAATTTTACAAGTCCCGTCTTTCTTAAAATTTTATAAATTTATCCTCTTAACCTAAATTCCAGCGTTGATATCCGAGTAAAGTCCGACTGAATTTTGGTTCGCCATGATTAAGTCACATCCGCATGAAAAATTGTTGGAAAAATGGCTTGTTTAACCCATTTTTTCTTCGAATTCATGGGACCGACCTAATTCACGGATCAACAAACCAGGATTCCATGGCGATATGTCCAGTGAAGTTGACCTAAATCTACAACAAAGTGTATATTTTTTTTCCTGTACCACTCCAACCACTTGTATTAATAATAATGATTTTACTTAGGTAGCTTAAGAAGGCTGTCAAGTCAAGATTAAGCAAAGGAGTAAACAGTAATGCATTAAAATAATTATAAGCTGAAAGCAGAGGCCTCAAAAGATAGGTCTTTGGTGGTGCGAAATTGGGCCGTGACTGATGCACAGATTGATAACCAACCGAAAAGTTAATTAATCAAACCCCACTGAATTTATAAGGTAAATTACACTTCAGGTCACTTAATTTTGTATTTAATAATAAATAGGTCATTTTTCTCCTTCTAAAAATTTCAAGTCATTACCTTTAAATATTGGATAAAATAATTATAGATCCTGATATAATAATGGTTTTAGTCTCTAAAATTCACATACTCTATCAATTTAATCATAATTTAAACCAATTCAATAAATTTAACTCTTAATATTTTAAAATCTTATCAATTTAATATTTGTTCTTCTAAATTACTTGTTCATCTCTCATAATTGTTATATTATTTTTCTGATATAATAATGATTTAATGGTAACTTGATTTTGTTTTATGGCATGATGTAATTATTCAGTTACTCTTTTGATATGACGAATTCATTTAATTCGACAGTATCATAAAAAATTGAATTTATGAAAATTTAAAATATAAATAATTAAATTCATCAAATTATTTTAAATCATAATCAACATAATATAAATGTATAAAATTTAGAAATTATAACTATTATTATATTAAGTAACACTATACATTTATTTTAAATTTTAACTGATAATGGCATGTTTGTAATTTTTTTAAAATTGATTCATTTATTCTCAAATGTATTTTTTGGATAAATATTCTCAAATATATAAAAAATGGCTGTCCTTTTTTCCCATATGTATGGGGTAAGGGGGAGGTAAGATAGTAGGCTACCCCGACACCAGGTTGAGAGCAGCTTCCGTAAGAGACCTCCGAATTATGAAATGCCCTCCATGGGACTCGATCCCACGACCTCAAGATTAAGAACCTTGTGCTCTACAAACTGAGCTGGATATAGGGTTGGACGCCAAGCACAAACGACGAAAGGGAAAGCCCCTAAGCTTTTTCTGTACATTTAGTGGACTATAGTTTTCGGTTTAAATAAATATGGATATATTCGTTTTAATTAATTGAAGTGGGTTTTTTGATTTTTTTTAAAAGATAAGGTTTAATGAGAAATAAGTGTATAGACTACTTCTAAAGTTAATAATAGGTACAAAAATTTATACAAAAATGAGCGTATTGATTTTTTTAAAGAATTTTTTTGTTTAAAATAAGTGTATAACATTTTAAATATTATATTTTAAAAAAGTAAAAAGATTATTTAAAAAACATTTTTTAAAAGAAAATTAATATTCTAAGTCTAAGCACGCTCCCGTTGAAGTGTAAACGCATCTAGGGATTGATACAAAAATTTATCACAGGAGGTGTGAACTTAAGAAGTTATATAAAAAATTTTCGGGTATAAAATTAGATAATCAATAAAAAATATTAAAAACTAAAATATAAGAGAATTTTGATTTTTTCAAAGATACAAAATTAGATAATAAGTAAAACATATAAAAAACTAAAATATAAGAAAATTTAAAATTGTTAGGAGGTGAGATTACATCCTCCTGATCTATCCCTAAACGCGCCCCTTCCGTTCGCCGCAATGTGTGCATTTGGCGCTAATTCGCTCTCTTCCAGGCAGCTTATTTCCCCCCTCCCTTGGTCTCCCATACCGGGGCGTTTTCTAGATCACCTATCGTAGCCTTCAATTGCAATTTAATTGTTGAACATTCATACGTGGAAATTGAAAGGGGAATTAGGGATTTAAAATTTAAAGAATTAGGGTTTTGAGATATTTAAGGATTTAAGTGAGACGACAAGGGAATGGTTGATAGAGAAATCTGACGATCATGGGTTTGCGGTCGACAGCGGGGGTTATGAATGTAATGTAATCATTGAAAAAATTATCTAGTAATTAATATTTTAACGTAATGATCAAAATAAAACTAATATATAACATTAAATACGATTTAAAAAAAATAGTTGAATAATCAAAATGAAATCACCAAAAAATTGGGTGACTCAATAATAAATTTACCCTATAATATCTTGAAACTTAAAAAATAAATACAAATAAATGAAGCCTTTGTTTATCATTAGAAGGAAAAAAGCATTCTACGGAATCTTTTTAATTTAATTTCTGTCCAAGAAATCCAAAAATAAAGTTATTATCTAATAAAAATAATAGATGTAAAAATTGGGTTCTCCTCACACCACATATTCATTTGTCGTTAAATATAAAATAAAAGATATAAATATCATTTCTATTGAATATCACCAACCCTATATCTAATTCTCCTGCCTTGTGAATCAAACAAAATGGTGCTCCCTCAGCAAGAAAGTAGCAACATCACCATCCATAATAGTCCTGCCAGTATCATGCTCACAACCAGCCGGTTGACGGAGAATTACTTCTCCGTTCACGCCGAACCATCTGCTCCGACCACCAACTTCGTCCCAATCGTATCCCGACAACAGCCCCCAACTCCACTTCCATTTTCGGTTTTATCCCAAACTTTACGTCCTGTAACTCTTAAGGTTCTTTATCTCGCACATTAATCAGTTTGGCTAGTACTTGATTAAGTACATGCATGATAATCATACATGTGTATTGGTTGCAGTTTGAAGAATTGGCCTACAACATCCATTCCAATGCCACAACCACAACTCCACAAGTGTACTGAATGGCGTTTGCGGTGTGGTTCAACCCGGTGAGCTACTGGAAATGCTTGGCCCCTCTGGTAGTGGTAAAACCACCCTCCTCACTGCTCTTGCAGGTCGTTTAACTGGGAAGTTGTCTGGTACCATGACGTATAATGGTCGACCATTCTCCAGCTCCGTGAAACGCAGAATAGGATTCGTAGCTCAAGACGATGTGTTGTATCCCCACCTCACCGTGTCGAAGAAGCTTACCACGCAAGAAAAGATTGAGCAAGCTGAATTGATTATAGGGGAACTTGGGTTAGCTAGATGTGGGAACAATGTTGTGGGAGGGCCTCTTCTTCGGGGCGTGTCGGGTGGGGAACGTAAACGTGTCAGTATTGGCCTGGAGATGTTAGTGAACCTGAGTTTGTTGATGCTGGATGAGCCCACTTCGGGACTCACTCGACCACCGTACACCGAATTATGGTTACCTTACGATGCTTAGCACTCGGTGGCAGGACCGTCATCACCACCATCCACCAGCCTTCGAGTGGTTTGTACAGGATATTCGATAAGGTGCTGGTGCTTTCCGAAGGGTATACGATTTATTGCGGGCAAGCAGATGAGGCCATAGAATATTCAGCTCCATTGGTTTCACACCTTGTTTCGATTTTTTGAACCCTGCTGATTTTCTCCTTGATCTGGCTAATGATAAGCATAACCAAAACTCCCAACTTTGTTGTTTTTCCTTTTAACATTATACAATTGCAAACACAGCCTGCAATTCAATACTGTTTTGTACAAGCAAGTATGGCCCCTGATGTAAATCATGGCAGAGTATACCAACCTGATGATCAAAATTCCACTAAACAATACCTAATATCGTTTTACCGGAAGAACATATACCCGAAATTGAAGGCTGATATTAACCGAAACCTGCAAGATTCGTCTACTTCAACTGCTAAATCATCAAAATCAAATAAGTTAACACATGCAGGCTGTGGTGAGGTTGAATGGAGCAGCAGCTGGTGGGAACAATTCAAGGTCTTGTTGAGAAAATGTGTACAAGAGAGGAAGCATGAATCATATTCCGGCCTAAGCATAT